TGATCTCTGATTGTGCCTGTTCACATCGCCATTGTTTCTATTGTGGCACTGAGGCCAATTTGCGGCTGACTGATATCTGACATGCCATGCTCAACGATGTATGGCGTGTGTGTACCCCTTTGGTCCTGGCCATCTATAGCATATGACATAGGCCTAGGCTTCTAGGCCTTAGCCGCAGGGGTTTGCGTTCAGGGAAGATAGCTTTGGGCCAGGGCCTGGGAGTTTTGAGTAGTGAGTGAATATTCTACTACTGCTCAGAGCTTGCCTCCGCCGTCTGGAGAAACGGCTGGCAACTTCTGTTCCACCTACTCTACTGGGTATTCGGGTTAAGTCGTCTCACCTTGTGTAAAGTCGTCTCGTGCGGGCGTGCACATGGGGATTCCGCGTACAAGCTCGTAAGAACACTTAGCTGGAAGTCATCTCACCTCGGCAAGCACATGGGGATCCCGAAGTAAAGCTTGGGAGCCAGCGGCGTGGCGACATTGAAAACCCAAATAAAACGCCAAGTCCTACTCCACATATGCATGGATGTGTTTCTCAAAAGTCGTCTCGCGTGGGCGTGCGCATGGGATTCCGCATACAAGCTCGTAAGAACAGTTAGCCGGGAGCATTCTTTACAAGCTGGGCGTGAGCTTGGGGAGAGCCGACTTCACACAACCTGCGTTGACTTAACCCCAGCGCCCAGTACTTCCTACTATTACTATAATGCCCAGCTGTTGAGGTTAGCTGAGGAATCTTCAACTCAGGTTGATGCCCGACGCGACCTGGAGTTTGTGCAGTCGGGTGGAATGGCGCTAAGCCTCTAGGACTCTAGGTTAAGTAGCGAATGCCGTGGCAATTGCGCTGGGTCTTCCCCCAAATTATACCTCAGTAACGACGACCTTATTTAATGGGTTTAGGGTTTAGGGATTGCTTTGGGCCTCGTATCCGGGCGTGGACCTCAGCAAGCCTGCAGCAAAAAAGGGTTTTATCATTTAGGGTTTAGGGTTTATTTAAGGACACTATGGGGGCCAGGCAATTGCCTTTCTTGCTCTTGCTGTAAACCTTTGCATTGCGCCCGCTAAGCATTCATTTGAACAAGCTGTGGCTGTTATTGTGCGCAATCGCACTTTCGTGACACCATTTTTGTGGCAACAGGATAGCTGCATCATAGGTTGCCTGACATGGAAGTATGTGGGCTTGAAGAGCTTATGCGGATCGTTCAGGCCTCTGGTTCAAGCCACCCAAGCAGCTAGGGTTTCAGTGCAGCTGGCCTCACGCTGTCCTCTCGCGACAATGGGCAATGTTCCTGCGAACCAGCAGCCAGCAGCAGGATTTTGTGTTCAGAATCATGACTATGTTTCACAACGTTGCTTCAAGCAAAGGGGTGTAGTGTAGTGTAGTGTGTGTTATCAGGACCCGTTGGCAATGGCAATGGCAAGAAGTCGAAGCCCACTGAAGGCAGAGGGACATAGAGATACTTGTTGAATTATAATTAAAAGTGTATAATAAGCTCTATGGAAGTTTAAATGCACGTGTATATGCCAAGCCCCAAATTTGATAGAAGGCATATAAGCTGTTAAAGTACACCTTCCTACAGCTATACTGTTGCCTACCTATACTGCATATACTGCTCCTACACATGTTGCATGCTGCTGTTGCTGCTGTGTCTGCGAAAGTGTGTGTGTGTGTGTGTGCTGCCAGGCGCAAGGCTCTCCAATTCCTGCGGGCCTGTGAGGCAAAATGCTTCAAGTCAGCAGCCAGCTGCAGGAGTTTGTGTCTAGCAAGATGACCATGTTTCAGAAGATAGCTTGTGACGCATATTGTTGGTTCTGTCAGTGGCTCTTCTGTATTGTCAGGAGCAGTTGGCAATGGCGATGGCAAGAAGTTGAAGCCCAGTGAAGGCCGAGGGAGAAAAACGATAAATTTCTGATTCGCCCACGCGCTGCCAGGTGCAAGGGTCTGCAATCCCCCTGGCCAGTTGAGGCAGAATGCTTCAGGAGATTGCCACTTGTCAGTGAACGCTTGGAAAAACTGTGCTGTGCCATGGAAACCTTTGTTGCTGTGGAAGCTGAAAGCAGCATGCAGGACCAAGTGTGGGCAAGAAGGAGACGAAGATGCAAGAATGTGTGGGTATTTGGCGCAACATCAGCAAGAGCATGGACTGTCCAACGTGGGCACGATCGTTGGAGCCATTGGTTCGGGATTGTGTTGCTTGGTGGCAGCGAGCTCGACCCGATGATCCATGATTTGCTACAGGCCAGTGGTCTTCAGGTATGTCATGACATGCGCCGCCACGACTTCAGCCAGCATCTGCGACATAGTGCGGGCTCCCTGCATTTGTATGTCGCAGGCGCTCCATGTCAGGGGTTCTCGCCTCGAAATTGCAAGCGCAAACGGTGGGAGGATCCCAGGAGCTCCCTCCTGGCCGAGGCAATGTCCAAGATCCACAGGACACAAGCGGTTGATGCAGCGCTTCAAGAGAACTCCCACACCATGCTGAATGACCAGTGGCTTGGAAGGCATGCAGCTTTTCAGGTTTAGGTTGTGGTTGCGATGTGTGGATTGTGGGGAGGGAGGCAGAAGCTGTGAGAGGTTTTGTAGCTGCTTGAGGTCTGGCGTGGAAGAGCAGCTCGAGTTGCTGGACAAGGCTGGGTACCATGTCGTGACGAGACATTTGGACCCGATGAAGCTGGGATTCCCACGCAAGCGGCTGCGCACGTTCCTGGGCATGCATTGCGTTACTGGCATGTGGCACGTGTGCAGGTTTGTCCAGGGTGGGCAACTCTGCTCCGAACCCAGGTTCTTCTTCATATTGAGGAAGTCGCTTTGCCAGGGCCATGACCGCCAGAAGTTGGCAAATGAATTGGACGCTTTCTTCGCCCGCTTCCAGCTGGTGGCGCCCAAGGAGCAGCTCGATGATGTTTTGAACGCCGCGGACGCCTTGGTGGGCAGAGCCAGATCGGCAAGGACTTCTGTACGCCTCACATGACAAGATATTCAAGTAGATAAGTAGCGCATCCTTTTCGTGCATCTCTGTTGCTGTATTTGTTCAGGATCTCTTCAAGCGCAGCAACTCCGCCCGAATGCTGCTGTTTGAGCATCCCACCGGCGAATGTCCAAGACATACTTGTGGTTGCCGCGACTGCCGGAAGCCAGAGAACAAGGTGTCCTGTCTGAAGCTATGCTCCAGACTCAAGACTAGTGACTAGAGTCGAGTAGAGAATCATGCAGTTCCAAGATCGAATCTGTTACAAGGCATGCGCAGATACATCCCAGGACATGCCTCTTCTTCGACGCGCATGGGCAAGGCATGGCCAGACATGGGCTCAGAAGCACGGCTGCACCCAGCAGAGCCTGGACCGGTTGCCTCCAGCCGCCCTGGAGCTTGTGGAACTCTTTGAAACGCCACGAATCCGTTTGATGTTGGCCTTGTTGTCAGCGTCAAAGGGGGCGGCCTTCTATCAGAACGGCTTGGTGGACTTAAGCCAGAACATCCACATGTGCCAGATGGGGTCGGGCCGCTTGCTGTGCAGCGTTGCTACGAACAGCAAAATCTTTCTTTGTGCCAGGAAAGAGATCTTGTCTCCACACCACCTGGCTGCTGTGCTTGGCTTCTCATCGGAGAAGATCAAAGCTCTGTATCAACTTGGTGAGCGCAAGGCCACCTTTGCAAGAAAGTTGGGTGGCAATTCCATGCATGTACCAACCATTGCAGTGGCTGTGTGGGCGCTGCTCTCGGCAGTGAATGATGTTCAGGCCGCTTGATCAGACCCACTGCTCAGACAAGTACTTGAGCAAGAGGGCTTTACTTTGGGAAACTCCTGTGTGTCCCCGGTCAAACATGTTCAGGCAAGCTATAATCAGCCAATGTCCAGGACGTGTTGGCTCAGGTTTAATGACACTTTTGCATGCAGCTCTATGTTTGGCTGGTGGACATTTTCAGGAGGCGCAAGTTAATGTGTGCCGCGCTGCTCAGACAACGACTTGAGCAAGAGCGGTTGGGGAGACTCCTGTCGCCGGTGAAACATGTTCAGGGAATAGCTAATGATTAATGGCCACGACGTGTTGGCCCAGGTTGGAATGACACTTGTGAATGCAGCTTTATGTTTGGCTGGTGGACAGCTTCAGTAGGCGCAAGTCAATGTGTGCCGCGCTGCTCAGACAACGACTTGAGCAAGAGCGGTTGGGGTGTCGGAGGTGAAAAATGATTCTGACGGGTCGCCAGCTTATGGATGGTGCACTGCAGGGTTCCAGATACCCTGAGCCGCCTGAGCCACTGCCAGCTGATCCATCAGACAGAACAAAAAGCGTGGTTGCACACGTTGTTTATGTGCTTTCTGGCTGGCTGACAGCAGGCTTAAAGAAGCCCATATTGTTCCAAAACACATACCCATAAACCACTCCCAGGGGAGCCATCAGACAGAGTGCAAAGCGTGGTTGCGAACGCTGTTCGCAACCACTTTTGGGGCAATATGATTCAATATTGGGTCTCTTTAAGCCAAGGTTCCTGCTGTCAGCCAGCCAGAAAGCACATAAGACTAGGCATATTGCAGGAAATAGTGGTTGCGAACAGCGTTCGCAACCACGCTTTTTGTTCTGTCTGATGGCTCCCCTGGGAGTGGTTTATGGGTATGTGTTTTGGAACCATATGGGCTTCTTTAAGCCTGCTGTCAGCCAGCCAGAAAGCACATAAACAACGTGTGCAACCACGCTTTTTGTTCTGTCTGATGGATCAGCTGGCAGTGGCTCAGGCGGCTCAGGGTTATGCTTAGTGCTGCATTTCCACCCTTAAACATTGGTTGTTTCCTTATTCACATGCGCTTCATGTCTCATTGCTTGTTTTTTTTCAGCTTCTGTAGCCTTGCTTGTTCGCTCGGAAGCTCAGCATGAAGCGCAAAGCAGAAGAAGAGCCAGAGCTCATTTTGAGCGAGGAAGACCACGCCTCCGAGCATGTGAAGCGCTTGACCACGAAAACGCAGGGGCGTATGAGCGAAGCAGTTCATACTTTCCTCAAGGACATGATTTGCGGAGACAAGGCTCTTGATATAGAGTCCTTTGCCAAATCAGTGCAGCTCTTGGTGCCCTGCGCTTCGGGAACAACTGCTTCGGGACAGACCGCTTGTTACGCAGCCTTCCAAGCTTCAGGTCGGACCCCAAGCTCTGGCCAGATCCACATTTTGTTCCTGAACATTTTTGCTACCGAGAGCTACCCTTTCATGACCTTGGTGTCAGATTGCTTGGAGGTGGCGACAGCCATGATCACCAGTGGGAGCAGTTCCCATGTCTTGGAGATTGAAGGTGTTCGCAGCGCTGATTTCCCGAACTCGGGCTGGCACTTGCGATTCGGCGCCGGCGGTGCCGATTTCAATTCTTGTTTGCTGGGAGCCTACGGGTTGTTGCTGGCAAGTGGTCTGCTGGCATTAAGCCAGGAATCAGAAACCCAGACTGTGTGCAATCTCCTCGCCGGAATCGCGGTGTCCTGCCCAGACCGTGGCCGTGTGGTGGACCCGAAGGTACGCACGTTGCGCGCCATGACGCAAACTACCATCGAGCATAAACGCCATCGCCGACTGGATTTGGTGCTTGCAGCAAGCCTTATGAAAAAGCTTCTCAAGGCTAGCTGTAAGAAGCTTGCTGATGGCAGCATCGAGACTGATGAGGTGCATCTTCGGTACAGTGAGACTGCAACACATGACATGTCATAACTGTTGCAAACTGATGCCTTTGTCCCTTTGGCCTCCAAGGTGTCCAAGGAGATTTCGGCTCTCATCAAGAAGTACAATTCTGGCATGTTGCATGGTGTGGGTCATCAACTTCGTGGCCGTGCAGCATTCGCGATACGCATGGCTATGTCGGAGGAACACCTTCCAGAGGAGGCCGTTGCTGTTGTTGTGAGCTCTGGAACTTTAGACTTTAGAGCATGTAAGCATGCGTTTGTTCAGGTCTTTTGCCAGATGGTGGCATCATCTGTGGACATGCGTTTTAATGACATGCTGCTCGAGATGCGAGGCTTCTATATTGGCATGAGTATGCCACCAGTACTGCACCTGGAGTCGATGTAGTGGCACACGTTGACGACTGAGACTTGCAATGTCGTTTCATAGTGAGAAGCCCTTGTCACCTTGTCGAAGCGAGGCGAGATGTTTCCCACAAACAATGGGAAGGCCCCTACAAAGGCTCGGAAAAAGCCCAGCTTCTCATCTTGAAAGAGATGCTGAAGGATGACAGGGCAGAGAACCTGGAGCGGTGTCTTGGCAACTTGTTGGGTTGCTATGTCGTGTACTTTGATGCATTTACCCTGAACAGCATTTCGTATCATCAATCCATGTCACGCGTGAGATCAGCCTAGGCAACAGTACCCAACGGCTGGGTTGAGTGGCTTAGTGGGCCGCTGTAATTTGTTTGTGAACATCATGGTGGACCTGATCGATCATGCCAATGTCATGGAAGATCAGAAGGAGCAGCTGAACAAAGCCTTCGAGGATGGCAGGCTTACGGCAAGACTTGACAAAATGCTGGCCATCTCGCTGCCCGAAACCTACGTTCACACAAAAGACTTTGGAGCCCTTGTCAAAGAGAACATCCCCATGATCCAGGAGATTTTGCTGGGCGCTCCTGCGGCTTCCCCGATGGCCTCTGTGGAGTCAGCTCAGGCTGAGGCAGACAAAGAGGCCGCCGACCTTAGAGCTGCAGAAGTTCAACGCAAGATCTGGCTCCAGAACTTCGAACACGACTGGGCAATTTTTGAGGCTGCTTGCCTTGCAATTGGCCCATTGGTCCCTTGTTCCAATGCTCTTTGATGCACTGATGCACACAACGAAGTCTGAGTGATAGACTGATAGACCTGTGGCCATATCAGGCGTGGCAGGGAATGTGTGGAGAAATGGCAAAAGGCCAAGGTCAAGTGGGAGCAAGCCCAGGCCTCATCTCTTGAACAGAATTTCGGTAAGGTTTGCTTTGATTGCGCATGTGGACATTTCAATCATTAAGGCCCGCCACTCTGTGATGAGCCAGGAAGCCATGCGGTTGGTTGAAGCAGTGGCTTCGGTCACCCATATCCGGGAAGGCGAAGACCTTGAGAAGGCCGCGGTGCTTGTGGTTGCCGACATGCAGGCAGTTGGCATTCGGGAGCGTGTCGTCGTCGAGATGTGCAACACGCTTGCGAGCTTGCCAGACAACTGCGTGAAGTTGCTGCTTTACTCCAATGCGCCAAGCAAGAGGCATGCAAGGCTTCGATCGTCAGCTTCAAAGAAGGATGGCAGCATTTCCCAGCCAGAAGTTGACGAAGTTGCCGCTCCTGATGCCTCAGATGAGGATGATGAAGGCGAAGGAGATCTTCCGGAGACTGGGGATGGAGTCGCAACTTTCAGGCAGAGTACATGCCAGAAAGCTTGGCAGCTTGCATCTGACAGGCAGATGATTGGGTCTGCGCTGCAGGATGCCTTTGGAATTGGCCGGGCGCGACAGAGCAGCATGTCCTTTGTGATGGTCTATGACGTTCAGGTTCTTGGGCGTCTGACGACCGAGGGAAGTGTTCTCGTGCACTCCGAGGCCATACTGAGGTAACTGTGTGGTATAGGTTCTCAGCACATGTTTTCAATGAGGTTCTTACTTGGGGGTTCGAAGTTTGTGCATGAGTGTGTCACCATGGGTCTGACTGAGATTTTGCCTTGCATGGTGGGTGTTGTAGGAATTTCTGGTTGCCAGAGTAGCCAGGTACCAAGTAAGTACTTAGTAAGTGCCACTGTTCGAGTAGCTGAGTAGCACAGTACGAAGTATGGCCGCCGAAGAAAACGTCATGGGAAAGTTATATACACCATTAATTTTAATTAGCAATAATTTATTGTTTTCTAACTTACTAATTTATACGGTTATACACATTATATATATAATATAATATATATATAACTTACATATTGTTACTATATACTACATACTATATACTAGCCAGGTGAGAAGTAGGCAGGCGCCATTGGAGGACATGGGTACATGGGTACCATTGTACAGTCAATAGTTAAGGGTAACATGTGCGAATATTCAGTACCCAACCCACCTGCTCAGCCGTTCATGCGCAAAGTCAATGGTTGCTTTTGAACAGGTTCCGACATGGTTGACAGGAGGGTGCTTGGCGTTGGGTGTGCACAACGTGGAGCGCGCCAATGACGTGGTCGTCTTCAGCAAAAGAGCAGCTCGAACCTGCCGTGAGCGAGACGAAGGCTGGTGCCATGATACATGCTACATGTTTCGGGTCTGTGATGTCACACAAAAGATCCAATCCCATGTGCAAGACCTAAAATTTGGATCACGGCGGTAAAAGCTTTTACGCCAGGGAAACCAACCATCTGCATCTGAGGACCACCATCCGTGCCAAGGAACCAGGCGTCGGAGGGGCAGAGGTTGCAGCGCGGCGTTGCAGCGGCGAAGTCGGTTGTGGCAAATGTTGTGGACAGCTTGGACGACGAGTACTCGCACCTGGTCGTGTTGGACCTCTGGAGTGGCCACGGTGACTGGGCGATGGCAGTACTGCAACACACGTACTTCCTGGAGGAGCAGGTCGCGCTTGCTAAAGAAAAAGGTCAAGAGGAGCAGCCGCCGGACCCTATTCAGATGCACTATGCAGGCACTGACACAAGAGAATGGGCCACAGCTCTCACCAAACATCGCCTTGCTGAGTTTGTCAAAGCCAAGATGGAAGCCAAGGAGATAAGGTTTGAGCCTGAGCTGGAAATGGATATGCCGCCACAGAAGCAGCCAGGGGACTGGGACAACCTTCTACACGAAATCCAATCCAAGGTAAAGACTTTCAAGGTCAAGAATGACGGCAGTCTGGTTGTTCCAAGCCCGAACTCTTTCAGGCCCTCATCTCCAGAGATCAAAGAGGCTTTGCAGGAATATGCAAAAAAGGCCAAGGAGCTTGGGCCTGCAGGTGTGTTCCGTGAGGGGAACCCGAGGGCCGCATGCCAAAAGAAGGCCAAGGCTCAGCCAAAGAAGGCAGCGCTTTCCCGCACAGCTGCTGAGCATGTTGCACAGCAAAAGATCTACTAGGCCCACTATAGGCTTTGCAGCCAGTGTCATGTGTGGTTAGGTTTTCGTTTTGTCGTAGACTGGTGGACGGTTCTTTCTAGCTCTCTTTTGTGTAACGGTACCCGGTATGACCCAAATGAAATACTAGTCTGTCCTGGTTGATGCTGGCATGGAATCTCAACCATAGCTGCTATAGCTACTATAGCTGTCCTCTAGCTGACTCTAGCTATGCTAGCTATGTGTCATCATATGTTCCATTTCCCGCGTTGTCTTGAGATGACGCAACAGATAGCGTGGATGTGTTCAACGTGCCTTGACATGCCTCACCTAGCACTGAACAGCCGAGGCTATGTACAGCTGGATTGGGGCTTAGGTGCGAGCGCTTACATCTATGCCCAAACGGCCACAGATGCCGAGGAGCAGGGCATCTGGCTGGTGAACCTTTCCGAGGAGAATCCGTTTGTCTTGCGCAAGAGAATGTTGCTGGTCCCACTAGGACGCCTTGTCTTTGGCACAAAAGATGAATCTCGGGTGCCCTCTGACAACTCCCAGTTCTGCATCCCTCTGGGTTTTCCCTCCGCGACAACACAGGGCGCGTTGATGGTGGCAGACACAGACTTGGAGACAGTCACCAGTGTCTCAAACGTGTTGAAATCCGCCCAGCTGGAAGGTGCCAACCCGGAGGTGGCTGCCTGGTTGAATTTGCGATTTAGGTTCGTGCAGACTTGTTGGTGTTCGCAGTGATCCTTGTCTCATCATGTTCTGGTCGTTGAGGCTGCCAGACTCGTGTATGGTCACACCGTTACGGTCAAGGCGAACAAGGCTCTGCAGATAAACCCGGCAGAGCCTGCCATGGCCTATGACCGCCGTCCACGGCCAAGCATGGAGAGCTTGCTGCAAGGGAACTTGGCTGACAAGTATCGGATAGGCCAAGTCTTGGTGCCAGACCCAAAGGTGTTGACACTCAGCCGCAAGAGACAGTTGTGTGTGCAAGCGCGAAAAGCATACATACATGATGTCAGCATCAGGAAGCCAGTTTTCGCCTGGACAGTCCAGTCCATGCTGGAAGATGCCAGTGACTGTGACATGGCGGCATGTGTTCAAACATATCAATGTGCAGAGGGGGAGAGGGATGCAAATCAAATCAATGTCATTGTGCGATTTGTTGAGGTCACCTGATGCCTTACCGCCCGCACACTGTTGGTGTTGACGCTGAGAACGCCTGGCATCTTGCTTGAAACTTCTTCTGTGGTGCATGGCATGGCTCTAACTTTAATCATTAATCATTAATCAATCTTTGGAGTCTGACATTTGAATCCAGAGTCTTCCCATGTCTCAGGTATGCCACAGAGAAAGACATTGAACTGCAACCAATGGAGGCATTGAGTTTGGGCTCCATCTTTCGAGCGGCAAGCCAGTGAGCCATTGCTGTTGTGGCGTTCGTCGTTGGACGATTGTTGCAAGCTCATCAGTTTGCACATGAGCCACAACGTTTGTGACTGTCAGTAAGTCAGGTGCCAGCGCCCAGAACCTAAACCCTGGTAGGCCTTGATAAAGCTGCATAGCGTGGCATAGATAGCCGCGTAGCCAAAATGAGCCAACCCTCCAGGTCTTAAAGCGTGGGTACGAATCCACTCTAATACTTGTGTGGGATTTTGTGCGCCACCTGACATTGCGACAGTAGGTGCCATAACTTGCCTCAAGGCAAGGAGCTGGCCTTTTCAATATCTCGCCATGTCATTTTGCTATGGAGTACTCAGGAGGCTGCCATAGGCAGTCATGGTACAGTGGTACAGTGTGAGGGATGGTCATTGTCGCGATTTGGGGGCGTTTGGCTTCCAAGATCGCTACTTGACGGTCCAGATTACCGGCCACATGCCAAAAACGGTTTTGCATGGTTGCTGCATAAGTCAATGGAGACCTTGCAGTTGCTTCTCTTCCCAACCCATGGTCCAAGGTGTGATAAAGTTCGTGGCGACAGCCAAGGCCAGGGATGCACAAGGATGCGTTGGGATTTGTTTGGTAGTCAGGCCTACTTCTGACTGTACTGCTTATGCCCCACGCCTATGTCATAATGAGCCATCTCCCTTGTCCTACAAGTGGCAAAGACCTTGTTGCATACAGTCTAACAAGCTGGCTGGCAGGCTTCTGCTCGCTGAGTTTTCCCAGGAGAAGAGCAGGCCTGAATTGTCTGCGTTGCAGTTGTGATTGGGAACAAGACAGGAAGTGCCCCATAGGACCCATAGTGGTGGTACGAAGTAGGTATTTGG